ACAACCGCTTAGAAACTGGACTACAAAAAGACAAGTATTCGTTAGTTATTCCTACTGATGCCCTAGAGATCCATGCATTATTCAGATGCTTCAGATCGGAGAGACACAGTCTTGAACGTTTTCCTTTATTCGACACACTGGAGGTGATTGAAATCCCTATTTATCCAGTCTACTCCGTTTGTTACTGCGAACCACCGTTGCAATTCTGCTTGTTGTTACTTCTTCACAGATCGCGAATACCATTGTTGAGCCAGTACGTTCGAAGTTGAGAACTTCACTGCCATGATGCATCCAGTGCCGTTGTCCTGTAACAACGTGCATACTTGTTGTGAAAAATTGCGTTACATGCACCGAGGTAGTTGGTCGGTGACCTAAGAGGTAAGGTGCATGTCTTGTAACCTTATGGTCACCGGTTGAAATCCACGTAAGTGCTGACGACTTCGCAGTATGCCCGGCGCATGCGCGGCTGGTGGTATCGTGTGGCAACGTGGCGCCGATGCGGTGCACTGCCGATCTCTTATACCTTAGTATTCGTGAAAATGGTCATCAGTTTCATTGCATCATTCCTCACTACATAATTGTCTATAATTCGATGTCATGACTGGGATTGGCTTGAACACGCATGTTACTGGCAGCAGTCGGCATGTCCATATCTTTGCCATTGTAATTGGAGAAGAGTGCTACTGGTAGAATTAATCTTTGACACTGCGCAATGCAGTCAGTGGGAATGTCGCTCGAAACAAGGGAAGGGTAGATTGCTTCTCGCTTCTAATTATTGTTTTCACCAGAGCTTTGACGTCAAATGACAAAGGATGCTGTTGACTGCTATCTGTTTAAAAAGAACAGCGTCCGCGCGTTTGCTACGTGTAGCTTTGGCACCGAAAAGTGGGCCATCGATGAGTAAGGGGATTTTTCGATGGACTTTTATTGATTCGCCTCACAGCTCAAAAACCAGCTAGTCTGGCCAACAGTTTGAAAAAACACCAGACGGCCGTTTCGATTCGGTTCTTGATGGAACCACTCACGCGCACCACTAACTTCGTTGGGTCGAAACGGCGTGGTGCCTTTTAGACCTGCGATTTTTTTCTTATCCTCATCTATGCAACTGCGAAGCACATTCAATGTGCTCTTTGTTTCTTATGGATTCGATGTCATGCTAATCACGTTCCTCTTATTTCCGATCGTTTCTCAGAATACATCATAACCTACCACGAAAAATTCCACTTCGATGACCGAATCCGGCTGTTGAGCTCGATATTGAAACCTTCTTATCTGAACTACTCCGTTCACTCGCGACCGGCTTGGCGAAGCCTTGGTCTTTCTAGCGATTTCGATATCGTTACGTTTCACAATTTGACTGGCGAACACGCACATCTGCTTGTGTCTACCGTACAAAGCAAGCCTGGCATCAGAGGCGTCTATCCTCAACTACGTTTTCAACGGAAGATTCTTAGCACTGAAGGTTCGCTTTCCCCTTATTATTTTTATACCAATCCGCTTCTTCACACGCAGCCTGCTTAAAGGCTCACTCGGGCTTTTCAATATTGTTTACTTTGAGTTTTTTCTCTTATTTTCAGTTCGATTTGACACTCGACTTCCTAATCTAGTAAGTCCCCATTTTGTGGTTTAATTCAACTAAGCTTCTTCACAATTTGACATTTTCCCACTTCTACACAGATAGTCATGTGGTCTTTTTGTGCAAGCTGACTTAGTTGCTTTTGCATCTGAGCATGTTCTTTTTCTGTTTAGCGAAATACTTCCCGTTACCCGTTTAAAATGCCTTCACACTTAAATTCCGTATCCAAATTTATGATCATACATCTAAATTAAATATTTTTTTACTAATGTACCACTCAAACAACGCATGTCTGTGATTTGTCTATTAGAATGCAACCCATCCCTGACTTTTGTACGTCATGCTTATGTGGAAGAGGTATTGCAAGTGCTTCTTCCCCAGGACGTTGACTTTTGTCACTCCAAGAGGTGAACATCATCGCACGAGTTGTCATCCTGTCATTAATCGTCATCAATCACCAAGCATAGGCATGGGTTCGGGCGCCTTGTCTGTACCCCAGTCCTCATTCAATCGCCGATGAATCACCGGCACAAAGTATCGATTTACTGCTGAGATCCCTCTGTAACCATAGGCAGACTCGTTATTTGCACCGATTCTTGAGCACTTTTCTGCGGACTTTCTCTATTTACATCTCCGTTTCTTAAGGCCTCCAGTATGTTTCAATTGAAGATCACGTTATCACTTTTGCAGGGCTTCCCGCAGCTATCACTGAACCAATATTGCTTGGATATTCGAGTACTCATTGTTCTCACTGACTTAGCTGATTCTAACTGTATAGTGTATTCAAATGTAGTATGGGAATTCAAAGCTTTTGTTTTCATGCTTAGACACTTCTAGCAATACGGGTTTTGAGGAATCCAACCATCCCTTCGCCCACCAGAACCAGGGTGGCTGTTGGTTCTGAATGCACCCCGAACAATACGGTGGATTGTCTGTTCAAACTGATCGGTAGGGGCAGGTGGTTAACACAAAGTCAACTGTCTCTTCTTCTTGGCGAGGTCAGATCCTTGGTATAGATTTGCCTTTTGAAATTTTATCCAAACGTCCATTGCGGCTGAAATTTTCACATTCCACTTCCGTGCCGTTCCGCTTCGCAAAGGCCACCATTTCAATTTGCTCTCTTCTGTTTACTCTGTCGCACTTCCTCTGTATTATCATTCTTTGAGTCTACAAGTTTTCTCGTGTAACATATATTGTTGCGTTTTGATTCACCATACACTCCGAACGTGAGTGAGCTTTTTGATTGGAGAGCTTGTTTCCTCGGTCTTTCTGGGTTTGGAGCGAGGAATAGTGATTACTCACTGTGACATACGGAGAACTTGTGGGGCGAGGCGGTCGTTTCTTTTCCCTAGCGATGGTTATTGTTCCTGACGAAGAGTATTAGCTTACTGAGGCGTTAATATTAAGCAGCGATTTTCTTTTGTCACACGTGCCTGTCGTGTGCTAATGGGTAGTTGGGCTGTTGACTTTCTGCTTGTTTCCATGCCTGTTAGACATAGTTACAGTAGGTGGCAAGTTTGCTATCGTTCACAGTTTTTCTTCGCCTCGATAGACCCAGTCGCCATGATCAACCTCGCCATGGCGATAACAATTCCCAGTGACGGGGAAGAAATACTACAACGGACGACATCAGAAACAAACGGGGTCCCGTCTGCTGAAATTCTGGGCCCAACGGTCTTAATAGCAACTCTAACGATCTGGTGTATCAGATTTATCAGTTCAATAGCAAGCAACTACTGTCCATGAAATCTGACACGAAGTGTTGCTGAAGCGGAAAAGTGCGTGTGGTCCGGACAATATTTTTCCATCTTTACTGCAGGACAGTATCGGCTCATGATATTTACGGATTATAGACCATCTCTAATGACAGCACTGGGTCAGTTATACCGAAGTCCGCTAGTTTTCCGGATTGATTGTCTCGTTGGACTCACTGACGATTGGGCTAACATCTGTCGTCAGCATTGTTTGATGTAAAACTGTAATATCCTCCGAAATGATGTAATCTGTCATTTTCAACTTTGAAACTGGACTGCTTTATACTTTCCTTGGTTTTCCTCGGTTTAACTAGCTTTATATCCTCAAGTTCGAAAACTTATTCCGTCCTAATCCTTCTTGTTGTGTTTCCGCTGACAGTACGAATAACCGATGCAGCCACTCTGGTCACGATACAGCCACTTCCAAAATCAAAAGACAAAGGTCTTTGGCAGAACTTGGAAGGCAGAATCTACAGCCAAAATATTTGGGTCGAAATAAATTGTTCATGAGATAAAAGAACTTATTGAAAGTTCCCGATTATAACAACTACTGGATGCACAACAACTCGCTTGTTGGCTGTACAAGTAGCTTGTTTACTGGAGGGTTTCAAGTTAGGTCATTCTGATTGGTCCAATTCAAGGTAAAACGATGCCATTGGCTTACTCTCATTGGCTAGTCAATCGGCTACAGGCGGCCTACAACCAATCTTTACCGGGCTGCTCCAGACAGTGAGAGAGAGTTAGCTTCGGTGGCTGCTATGAACGGGTTCCAATAACACTTTTTTCTCCCCGACCTTTATTGTCAAGATAAATCGATGTGCTAATTATATGTACCCGTTATTTTATTGGACTGCCTATGGTCATAGCCTCTTGTGTTTCTGTTAGGCACTCGGGCAGTTTGTCTGTCTAAGCCAACATTTGTTTATATAAACGAATCTCTACGTTTCGTCACAATTTTGTGTTTACCTCAGTTTCACAGGTCTGAGACATCTGAGCTGCCCGGAACCATGCCTCTTCACCCAACTAAGCAGGTTTGTTTGCGTATCCTTCTGATTTTATTTCCTTTTTTCATCTACCGCATAGGCACTCAGCCGTTTTTGTTGGCTGTTCGTTTGTTTGCCATATCCGACTGCAGCATTTGACACCGATCAATCAGGGGAATTAAGTTTGACTACCCAAGGTAAATGGTATAATTCATTGCTTCTCTTGCATGTGTTTTTAGCTTTGGGTGCTTTCACAATCCGACCAGGGCGTCATATATTCCATCCTTTTGGCCCTAAACTTATTGCATCATTAGTGGCATTTTTACCCGCCAAAATGCACGTGGGTGTTTGACTACTTACTCTTGAATATATATTTGTTTAACCTACACTTTCTGAGGGTACCGGAACAATCGAGGACTTACTTTAACAGCTCTCTCATAGCCTATATTGTTTACGTCGCAAAAATCCGTTCTGAGATTTTATCGTTGGACTTACTGCTTACAATACCCTATCCTCATTTTTGACGATGATTCCCATTCTTCTTTTACAGCCTTGGCGGCTTCTGCGTACCAGTGAACTTTGGCGCAAAGGATTTTGTGGAGCGGGTGTTCGTGTAGGCATTTTTGATACTGGTCTGGTTCCCACGGATTCCCATCCGCATTTCAAGTCTGCTCGTGTGAAAGACCGCTCTGATTGGACTGTAGACGAAGTAGGTTTTTGCTCCTTTCCTCCTTTTGATGTTTAAATCGGTTTCCTCTTTGTAGTTGGATTATGCATGTTGTTATAAACCTATTTTAACTTGGTCATCGCTGCATCGAAATTCGTCTGCTCTGATACTTGTGTGGTATGTGGACCTGTTTGCAGTTGCATTATTTCAGATACCGGGTCATTTTTATCTTCTTTAGCTTGAAATTCGTATATATATATATATATATATATATATATATATATATATATATATATATATATATATGCACACTTGAATGGGTCGCACTTTCCCTCAATGACCAACGGAAAACGTCTTCCGCAACACGTGTTGCAAAGTGCAGCATTTTTATCATACGCAAACCGACAGCTATTATTTATTTAAAATTCATCTTGGTGGCATCAACTGGAACTTCCTAGACAGCCTTTCTTCTTCTTTGCTCTTTTTTCACACGCCATCATTCATCTTGCTCACTTTTGTCCGATATTCCCCTCCTACATGACTTAAATAAATAAATAAATTGATGTATTTACCGACAGGCGGTACACGGCCCCATAGGCGGGAGCGACCATTCGTATAGTGAATACGTTTCATAACATTAAAGAAAAGTTTATTGATAGCATTTCGGATCATGATTATTTTTCTTTGAGTCCTAGACCCGTGCAACTCATATGTACAATTTACAGCAGTCTTCCGTAGTTCTAGTGCAGCGCTGTCTGCGTAAATTCGGTGGTTTATAATATTTTAAAAGAGAAAGAGGTTGTTCTTTAAGCCCCTCAGCCAAAGTGGATCCAGCTGGAGTTTTCGACAGCGATCAGGTTTGAGCAACGCCCCACGACCAGCTTAGTAAATAATCGTTGGACATTTTCCAGAGCCGTTCTGTCTTTCTTTCTCAATTGGCTGTAAATGATAGTCCAATATTCCAGAGTCGGTCGTACTATTGTCTCGAATGACTCAAGTCGTGCTTCTGGTAGAAAGAAAGTTCTGGTGATATATCCGCATAACTGCCTTGCTTTCGCAGCCTGATAAAGAACATGTTCAGAGAAATTGAAAGAGTTGGAGTATCTAATTCCTAAGTCCCGAACTGAATCCGATGTTGGGATCACGTTTCCGGCAAGTATATTGGAGTCTTCTGGGATGCGGCATCTGTACCCAAGTACTTGGGATTTCACCGCGGAGAACTTCATTAATAAACGCTCACTACCTATATTTAGTGCGGTCGGGTCTTCACAAATGCTCCAGAAACACATATGTAGTTGGTTTGAATGAAATAAGTAAACCAGTTTGACATCATCTGCAAACAGAACTGGATGTCCATGTTTGATCGGGTCACATATATTGTTTACGTAGATTAAGAAAAGTAATGGTCCTAGCACACTTCCCTGGAAGACACCGCTGGTTATTGGCTTCGGTGTAGAATGTTGCTGACCGATTTTAACGACCTGAGTTCGACCGTTTAGGTATGAGTCGAACCAGTTAAGCAGCGGATTTCCAATTCCATATGACTCTAGAGTAGACAGCACGCGGTCGAGCGCTTTTTGCATGTCCAACAGAATTATAATAATTGCCATTCCTCTGTCAATCATAGTCGTGATGTGATCCAGAAATTGTAGCTGGCATGTAACGCAGGAGCGTTTTGAGAGAAAGCCGTGCTGTGAAGGGTTGATCAGATCCAGTCTTGTAAGATATTGGGCAATGTTTTTCTTGACTATTCGCTCTAGGACTTTGGAAGCAGCAGAGGTGTGATTTATTGGGCGGTAGCTTGACATTTGATTTCTCGGTCCACCCTTGTGCTTAGGCATTATAATGGATTGCTTCCATTGAGCTGGAAAGCATCCGGTAGTGTGTGAAAGCGTGAAAATGTTTAGTAACAATAGTGCGAGGTTTTTTCCTCCGAGTTTTATAACAGTTGGGGAGATGCCATCTGGACCTGGATGAGTTGATGGCTTTATGGCTGCAATGGCACTTTGCACCTCTCTTAACGTCACAGGGATATTGCAGTATAGTTCGGTCGTTCTTTTTGGAAGTGGAGCATGACGTGGCTGAATGTTGGGGACAAAACAGGTGGCAAAAGTAGAGTTCATGGCCTCGCATATACAGGAGATATCGCGCGTTATGGAACCATCGTCTAGAGCCAACGTTTCAATTTCTTAAAGTGATTTAGGGTTTCTTCTTTTGAGTAGTTGCATCCACGCACGTACTTTCTCAGAATTTATGAGTACCCGGCTTTCTTCTTTGATTTTGACCGTTAGGGTTAGACGTTGTAAATATAGTAAGTTCTCGTGTATTTGTAGCAATGTTGCGAAGCTGTTGTTCCTGCTGTATAGCGATTTGAGTTTCTTTAGTTTGATTTTGATTTTGGACAGAAGCTTGAGTTCACCCCTATGTTCATGGGTGTTTCTCATTACAGTAGGTGCTAGTAGATCCACAACAAGAGTAATATTGTTTATAAACAGTAGGGTTGTGAGTTTGGAATGACGTATTCCAATTCATGGTACTGATAAGTTCATTAAACGCGTCCCCGTCCACACGATAGAGGTTGCGAATGGGTTTTAGCATTTTACTTGGTCGTTTAGATAAATCAATAGTCATATCACAAAGCACCATTTTGTGATCACAGCCAGGTAGTGGATTATCAGTGAATGTATAAGCATTCGCGATTCCCATCGTGAATACAAGGTCTAAGGTAGTAGCACTTCTGGTTGGCTCTCTAACATGCTGAGTCCAGCCATTGAGGTGGATACATGCGATATCCTTCAGGCAATGCAATATACCTGAATTGAGCTTTCTCTCCGGATGCAGGCTTCATCAGCCCACCATTTTGGAAATGTTTTATATTTATACTGGCTCTATTTTTTGCCTAGACGTTACCATTTTCCACCCTTTGTGCATGTTTTGTTCCTTGCCTTTCTCCACTGTATATCGCACTGCCTTGTTGTACTTTGTTTAATTTATTACGGACACCACCAAGGCGAATAACGTGCTCTGTAGATTTGCGCTGTTATCGAAACCAACTACTTTCCCCCACCATGTTTGCGTTTTCTATAACAGTTGGCTTTCTTGATCGCCATCAGCAGTCTTATGTCACTAATGAAAACTACTTCTTTTTCTGTTTTCCGGTCGTCTGCGGTACCACACAAAATCTTATTTTTAATAGTTAGAAACACGAACTTCAATTTAAAGGCATCTAATAGTCCTTATCAGGTTATGTGGGGACAACCTGTCTCTTCTCCGACCATTTGTCGCCCATCATGGGCGATACCGTTGATCGTCGAATTCATCATGACGACCCATGTGGTGCTACATTTAGATGCGTTCGTCTGCTCCCCATACGCGCGACTTTTTTGTCACACACCTTGAAGTCCGTGGAAACTGACATAACGAATTATAGGTAACCCATAAATACTATTTCTCTAATTGGCTACATATCCTTCCCTTTTGCTTGACTGTTCTATTTCTTTGATCCTCAGCCTACCGGTATGCGGGAGCTGCACCAGTGTATGTTCGCTCAAACCTTACACTCGGATGGTTCACATTTTCATTTTCCACGCAACCATTTCTACTCTACTTTCTACATTCTAAATTAGTTTGAACTTCTGTATACGATTTCCTCTCGGTCTTTACTGCAGCCCTTTTGTATTAGACTTCTAGTTTGGACCCTCGTGTTTCGGACGCACTGGATGGACACGGCCACGGCACGTTTGTCACTGGGCTGATTGCAGCTACTGGCTCTGCATCCAGTGGTGTGGACGCCATTCTGTCGGCGTTTGGCGATCACTCTCATTGTCCGCCCGCTGGAATGGCACCTTTTGCGGATTTATATATCTTTCGCGTATTCACCGATTCTCAAATTTCATATACATCATGGTTTTTGGACGCGTTCAACTATGCTATCAGTTTGAAACTTCATGTCATTAACCTGAGTGTTGGTGGCCCGGATTTTATGGACCAGCCCTTCGTGGACAAGGTGAGTTCAGCTGCAGTGTGGTTTCTCTTCGACGCACATACATCCGTTCACGCCCAATTACTAGTTGTTCGTCACTTCTGCACTTTTCGCTGCAACTGCGCTTGCACCACTTTGCCCACCATGAATGCATTCATGTGTCTTAGATGGATGTATCAATCTTTCCCTGCTTCTCCCTTTCAAATACCTTCCTCATGAGTTGGTTAAGAAGCAATCACCGCTGATTTCGCAACACATGCTAACTTTGCGACTCCATCGTCCATCTGACCCGTGGTCACACTGGTTCCTCCAATGTTCGCACCCTGTATCAACTCAGTGTATGCCATAGTTCCGGAACATTCATGCAGTGTTTTATTGTTTAAGATTCTGGTAACGATGGATCTCTGTATTATCATCAAAAAATAGTTGAAAACCATTCACTCGAACAGATCCCAGCAGCTAGCGTGGTTTATCCTTGTAGACCGAAGTTACTAGACAGTGTCGTGGTTTGCGGGTTCGTTATGTTTTTTCGGAATCTTCTCAAACCGACTACATCTCGGGGAGCACCCATGGCATACTATAAACAATGCATTACTCATCCATGTGACCTGAAAGATGGATATTTTGATCGTTACTGCTGGCATTATTGGACTCTTATCGAAGGCCGATCAATGTGTGATGTTCGTTTCGAAGTCGATACTCGTCACACTGCTAACAGTGACCGTTTTCATCAGTTACGTGCCGACAGCAGCAGTGCTTTCTGTCTAAGGTTTTGGCACTCGCATCACCTCTATCACTCCCAGAACCAAATGGTGTCATGGGCTCATTCTAACCATAGTATCCTCGTTTACGGGTGGCTTACATAAATTCAAAACCGCTATCCGGTTTGGATTATCATCCTTGGACCTTACTCGCCGTATAGCGCTTGCCTGTATAGCGCTTACTTTCCAAATCTGATCGAAGCGCTTAATTTCGATGCCTGTGAAGCAGCTTGACAGTGTACGTGGTATGTCAGCTATCACTAACGAACGTGGCAAACGAGCTTAGCGTTGTTTGCCGTTGTTTTAAACGCTCCATGAAAACACCTTGGAAGCTACTGGCTTCTCTCGATTGGTTCCTTTGGTCATTGAATAGATTTCTGAGGGTAATCCTCATTTGTTATCTGCCTAGTGGTAACGAGATTGTCACGTAATCTTGCGGCACGGGTTCCAATCCGCATGGGGTGGGCGTCCTCGCGGTGCACTCAGCCCGCGTGTGACTGGTGGTGGTCGCAAGGCTGACATATTATTATTGTTATTAATAATATTATTATTATGCACGATCTTCGCAGGTGTATTGAGCTGATTATCGCTCGTAATCGCTGTACATTTAAGAATCCTTAGAACGATTTACGAAAGTCCCCGAGGCATTTACCGTGCCGAAATTGTTTCTGACTTATTCGCAACTATCATGCTATAGCCACTTTCTGGTTTCCGCGAATTTCAGGTTAAAGGTCTCATTTGTTGCCTGATAGAGATTATGTTGACCATTTATTAACAGTTAGGTGATTGCAAAGCATCCTGAATATACCGTTCTTTTTATGATTTTCATCGTCGATTTGGAAGGCGCCTTTCGTTATGCGGTTCCTATGCCGCTAGTTCGCTTGACACCAAGCCTCCTCCCTCCGAAATACCCAGCCTGCACTTGTGCATGCAGAACATTTGGAACTTTGTTTATTTTTTGGCCTTCGCTATGTGTAGTTTTTGAAACCCTAAATGAGAATACTGAATTTGTCCATTTGCTGTTTTGTAACAGATTCTGTGGTTGCCCTGTAGTGTTTTTGGTATCATGTATCTGTTGATCACTATGTTTTGCCTGTACCGTCTTCGGTTCAGGATCGGATGCATATTGACGGGGAGAGTTGGTAGATTTAAATGGGGCTTCGGAGTTAGCTACATCCATGAATAATATTTTTCCTCGACAGCACAATCGCTAAGTCCGCGAGGTTCTTGCATCCATTTTTATGCATTTCAAAGCTAGATTTTCTATCTCTTCATGATTACTTGTTTTCGCTTGTTGGATACCTACTATCGCTTCGTGGGTTCAGGATATTAGGGTGCGGTACGAATACCAGCCAAACAGATGTTCTATTACAACGTCTTTAATCGCTGTATTAGTGTTCCATTGTAACGTTTGCGTGTTTTCCTATCAGGACGCGGAGTATATGCCAATCGTGTCCTTGCAACTTCTGGTGTACACGTTTCGCCTTAATTCCAAGTTGCCGAGCGACTGTTAGGTACCGATTACGTCCAACCAAAATGCTCATGAATGTATACGTTCCATCTTAGCATACGTAACTGCTTTATCACGCGATTCCTCACCTTCACCTTCTCGTCACTGTTGGTTTTGGTTCGTGTTGATCATTGTGTGTGGATGATGCAGCACAGTTTATCCGTGGCTCCCCTGTGTCTCCATCAGTCAAACCAGTAGGCTGATTAGGGATCCGACTTCGTTAACTTTATCGGTTTATGTCTAACTTACACGCACTGATTTACATTTCATTTCGCTTTCCATCCATAGAACGGTTCCAACTCGTCTTTGTTGCCATTGCATAGTGGTCCGCGTTACTTTTGATAAACCCATCTTATTACACTTCCTGGCTGTACCACCTTCATTCATTCCAGGTTTTGGAATTGTCTTCCAACGGGATTCTCCTTGTCTCAGCCATCGGAAACGACGGTCCGTTGTTCGGTACCTTGAACAATCCAGCTGACCAGATGGATGTGCTTGGCGTCGGTGGTGTCGACGCCACCGGTCGCATCGCACGGTTCTCCTCGCGAGGGATGACGACATGGGTGAGCCCTCCCCTCCACCAATGTATAACCACACCCTCGGACTGTGTATACCCATGTTTTTCTCACAATAATCTCGACACATTTAACTCATGCGCGGTTGCCTAAAGCGGCTGTACTGAAGTTTGAGCAGGATGGTGAAGGCCAATTACCCATACAAATCATTCTTCCATCTTGAGCATTCTTGACCTTCACCCTATCCAACTGAGCGCCTTATTCAATCACCCATCCGAATATTGTTTGAGTGACTTCCACAGTTTCTTCTGGATTCAGACGTTGTGTTTGACGTTTTTTTGCTAACCTGAGCCACTCAGTGTGAAGTCCTTCATGCCATGCAATATCCGCCCTACTTTGTCACCATCGGAGAGCCATGCCTTAAGTTTGTAGACGGCATTTTGTATTTCCCTGACTAATAATAATCTACAAACGAGGATTCTTGACATCCGAGTTCAGTACTTTTGACGGGCCACCGTCGAATATCGTCTGGTCGGCAATCCACATTTCCTCCTTTGAACTAAGACATGTGCGCGCAAACAACTTGATTTCTCTACAGAATCCGACGGTGTGTGACGACTTAACTATCCAACCCCGATTTCCTACTTTTTCGTAGCTATCGAAGGGACGTTTGGCATATGTAGACCTCAATCTCTCCATGTCTATATCTAAACAACCTTTCACCATCGTTTCTATGAACTGGCCTCTTTTCATTGCCTTGGCGTTTGTCTTGCAAGGTAATTAGCAGCTGAATTTCACATCTTCCATGTGTTATTTTCAATTGAGTGAGCGCTCGCTTTCTACCTCGGTTCCATTTCACCAGTTTAAGCCGACGCCCGCTCATCATATCGCGATGTTCGATCTTTATTCTCCAATTAAATGACATGTCTCAGTGGAACTGTGTGTTGAGAATTCTCGTCTATGTCCAATTTCTTCTACCGCAGGCTGCGTCACCGTCCTTCTCTCATCATCGAATTTTCCGTCTTTAATTTCCTTTGGAATTATTTGTCCGCCTTTCACTTCTTCAACTTCCCTCGTCGACTGTGACGCGGCGAGCATTTCGGTTTGTGTTTCCTGCATCGGCTGATTAGCTGTTCCCGTTGGAGCACTGGCTTCCCTATTGTAATTTCCGTGAGGGTGCCTCATCGAACCATATCTTTACTTTCATTTGAACACTTGGTTCTCCCATGTTTCTATAACTGCGTACTACGGTTAAACCTTTTCAGATGTGGGTTCGCTTGTCTCTTCAAGTGCTCGTCAACTGATTATTATTCGACTAGTTGTCTAGACAACTATTTTGTCTCTTCCAGATTTCTGGCCATTTTGACCTAATTTTCGCAGATAAACCACCCTGCGAGATTGAGTTCTAAGTCGTACTGGCAACAAAGCGACGATGTAAACTGTAGTTGTACCGGACTGTCGAACTAGCGGTTATGGAAAATCGGAAATTCGGATTCCGAGAACTAGTGGGCAAGGATCACGGATAGATCCAAAATGTTTCATGAAAATGTAGCGGCTCATGGAGCTATTGTTAGGGTTAAGTCAATGCTTGCGATTTAATCCCATTGTTTCTTTCCTGTAGTGCGTTGTATCCACCAGTGATACAGTAATAGAAAGACGATATTAAAAAGCATGCGTCATTAGTGCATGTAAGGGAAAATAGCAAGTGTACAGTGTCCCTGTGGTATACACTAAGCCTAGCAGGCCGGAAACACAGTAGCTCATTTAATATTCCCGCCACTCGCGATCTCGACACTCCCTAGTTGTACCGTTCAAGTATATCGCTTTTTCAGTTGATCATCGTCACCAGCTACTCGTTCTGCGTATTTCTTATCTGCCTTCTCTTCAGTCTCTTCCTTTTGGTTACGGTCAAGTCAAACCGGACATTGTTTCTTTCTCAACCGGAGTCATCAGCTCTGATCTGGCTGGAGGTTGTCGAACGCTTTCTGGGACTAGCGTGGCCTCTCCTGTGGTTACAGGTATTGTCGCTCTACTTGCTGAGTGAGTCCGATGCAAGGTGTATGAACTGAGCTCCTTTCTCTTTTCTCCTCTGCTTAACAAGTGCATCTGTTCGCTTCCTCCCCCCTTCATTCCAATGCAGTGTAGCGCTGAAGCGGAATGCCCATCTCGCTGATGTTCGGCTGTCCAATCACAGTCCCCTCCCACTGGTTCCGCTCAACCCAGCCAGCATCAAACAAGCGCTTATTTCCGGATCCACTCGCCTCTCCCACGTTCAGGTCTTCGGCACAGGTCCTCCCTTGTGGCCAGCTCACGTGGATACGAGCAACATTTTTGAACAGGGTGCCGGCTTAGTCAATCTGAACCTTTCTTTCCAGGTGCGCGATAAGTATCATGCGACCGTCTGACGTATTTTAGGGACCTGACTATCATGTTAAGTTTGCCAGCTTTGAAAGCTAATATATATTCTGGGCATCTCAGTCAACTGTCGATCTAAACTTTATTCATCTTATTCCTTTGAATTTCTTCACTATTATTGAACTCCTTGAAATTCCGATTCTGTCATAAAAGTCAGTACTTAGGACCAACTGATTTGATGAGTAGTGGCCATCTCAGCAGTGTCACAATCAGTAGAGTGACGATTCGTCCTGATAGCGGCATATATTCTCAAGAAATCAATGGGGTCATGTATGACGGCGAATATCCTAAGCGCGTCCGCACTTTAATTTCCCCGTGATTTTCATGATATCTCAGTGAACACTTAACATGTTTCTCGGATCCAGCTTCTACCGACTAGCTTCCGGCTAGCTTCCGACTTTCCTTACATTTCTCTGTCCTCGCCGCATACTGCAAGACGCACATTCTGTCCTGCTCATCTCGTCGCTCCTCTCAAAATTTGCCTAGCTCTTCTCACCCTAGTATTCGACATGGTAACCTTAGATACGGCCGCTTTCTTGTTTTGTCAATCTTTTTCTCTTTAGATGTCCTATAATTAAAGACCCCAGTTTTCCGCGCTGATGAAACATTTTTTCCGCGATCAAAATCGAAATTTCTGTGGCGCTAAAATAAATATCCGTGATTTCACCGCGAAGACTGAAATAAACAGAAATCAAGGCATCCTCATCCGTTAGATACATGTCAGCCATGATACAAAACGGAGAAAATAAAATAAAGCTCAACTAGGTGCTTCGTGCTACTGTCTGAAAGGTTAGGACGCTTGTCAGGCACAATATTTTTGTAGACACTGAAGTTCCATTCAGCATCTACCCAATTCACAGGAATGTATCAATAACGACCGGCAATGTCTGATAGTTGTGGAGTTCTTTCATTCATCCCACACCGGAAAGCCAACATATCTTCACGTTTTTCTCCATGCAGTTTTTCCACCACTTTTCGATAAACTAGCCATTCGGCTGCCAGACTCGGAAATCTAACTAGAACTGGAACGTCTTTATAGCTACATGGATCACCGGACAAGGTGATGAGCTGGTTGGGGTCGAGCACTCTAATGGCTTTCAAAAACGACCAGCTAGCTTGTGATGTCAGCAGCTCCTAGACTTTTATTACAGCTCGGGAGAAGCAGAGTTACCTGCCAGTTTGAATTTTGCTAGATGCACCAAAGGTTCGTCCCTCTGCCTGCAGATGCTGCTGCCAGCTTTCCTCAGTGGCAGTTTTCAGCGACATACATGGATCAGTGACTGTGATTTGACAGTTTTCAAGTGACAGATGATGTTCTTGTCAAAGGTCGCAATGCAACTCAGTTGCCACTTCAAGGCTTTCCGTGTTGTTTCGTTGGTTAGATTATACACAAGTTCGCAAATTCTGGCTGTGTGCAGCTTGCAGTATGGGTGGGTAATGATGGAAATATTTGCTGTCTCTCTCTCTCTCTCTCTCTCTCTATATATATATATATATATATATATATATATATATATATATATATATATATATATATATGATTTGGCGGCGTCCGTATCCGGATTTGCCTGTCACTGTGATGTCCATGGGAACAGTCACAGGAAGCCTGCGCCTACAGAGGGACCATGGGTGGCTTGCGCTGCACCACCCATAGTTCCATCCACATACCCCATATCCAGTGTAAACCCGAAGGAATAAGACCGGGAGGCATGCGGATGGGAGCCACGTTTCATCAACGGAGCCGGCCCACACTCCTTCAACAAGCAGAACGGAAGCATTCCGGCCTAATTGGGAATTCATACACACCAGACGTACACGAGGCGGTGGCTGGACCGTAGCCCGTTCCACACTGAGTGCATGGAACCACTCTTTGAGCCTAGCACCGTCACGAGGACGGTGCACTCCGTCCCCTCCAGCGACGACCAACTGTCTCCTGGAGCCAGTATGGACGAGGTAGTGGGTAATAGACAAATAGGCACCTTGTCAACATTCACATCAGGCGCATCCACACCGAGGAGCTCAAGCAACATCTACTTCTGAAATACAAGATTACTCATCACGCAGACACACGTACCACATACGCCGCCTTATTGGCCTGGATTAGTAAATTGAATGAGAACATACTCATGGTGCTTCTATTCCGCATACAATAGTGCTTTCTCTCGTACCTGAGCAACCGCCCTTTTGAGCAGTCCACGCAATTCGCATCGATCAAATTTGCCTTGGATTCGCAACACCTGAAATCAACATGAGTTTGTCATATATATATATATATATATATATATATATATATATATATATATATATATATATATATATACCTCGATCTATGCTAAAGATAATGCTACCATAATGAAAGAAAAGCAGGTTGCAGAAGTTTCGGATAGCAGTTATGGGGGTAGAGTTTAACAGCAGGTTCACCATTGCTCACGGTTTCTTGACATGTCCTACAAGGTTTCCAGCCCCATCGCAATGAGGCTTACCTTACCTTAGTGCAATGGTTTGCACGTCTCAGAGATCTATTGAGCTGTGCTGGGTGGTGCTTTCTGCACCTTCAGAGCCACTCAAACCAGATTGGTCAATGGTTAGAGATCAGACAAACTCACTCTCCGGGTTGGGGGTTGGAATGAGAGTCGCTCCTTTTTCCTTAACACAGAATCTGTAGCCCAGTACCATAATCCCGCTACCTTGCGGTAAGGTTTTTGAACCAAAGGTTTTGGTTGAGTACCCTAATCATTCTCAACTCTAGACCTGGGCAACCTGACAGTATCCTGCCCATGCAATACAACGATGACTTCTCCAAACTATATCTTGTTGCTCTGGCCGTCGCAGAGGATAATTAACCGCGTCCCATCTACTGCATCTAGCAGGGTGCATAGGGATTTGGATGTTACTGCTCAAGCCTTCCCGTCTACTTATTCTTACGCTTTTTGATCCTTATCGTCCTGATCCCACTTCACTTTTATCCCTCCAGTTTCAACCCCCCAATTCTTGGCTCTCCCCCACCATGCTTTCATAGGCGTTTATCTTCTTGTTTCGACTCACGTGCAAAAGTGAAGCGTCACTCCTACCCCATCGATAAGCCTATGTCTACCCAGGCGGTAAAGTTCAGTTCATCGGCTTCTGTTTGGAGCCCTCGATCCTCCGATTGGCACATTGCTACAGCTCGGTCAACAGGCAGCACTTGCCCTCTCGACCGATATCTGCTGCCTGTCGGAAATCCACCTACACGTCTCAGGCTATGTGCTTGCTTTGCGATCCCCTTCAGATGACACTAGCAGTGCTTTCTCATTGCACCTATCCGAAGACAATGCAGCTTCGAGTACCGTCCAAAACGGTCTTGGTATTGCCCTGAGTCCCCGAGTTGAAGCTGCTCTGGTTGATTGGATCCCCATCAGTAGCCGGATGTGTGCGGTGTCGACTAGATTGGAGCAACGCGCTACGACTGTGTTAGTTGAAACAAGTGACTATGAAACAAGCTGGGGGAGGGCCAAGAATTGGGGGTTTGAAAATGGGAGGGGGATCAAAGTAAAATCAGAGCGGGACAATAAAGATGAAAAGCGCAAGAAGGGTTATATGGGGACTTGAAGTCCTGAGCAGTAGCGTCCAAGTCCCCATCCACCCTGCTAGATGCAGCAGATAGGGCGCCGTTGATTATCCCGTGCGATGGCCAGAGCATCAAGACATCGTTAGAAGAAACCTTCGTTGTATTGCATGGACAGAACACTGTCAGGTTGTCTAGGCATAGACAGGAAACCGAATAGGTTTCTCAACCAAAGCTTTTGGTGGAGAACGATTTGGGTTCTCAACCAAAGCCTTTGGTTCAAAAACCTTACCGCAAGGCAGTGGGGTTTTGGTACTGGACTACAGAAAGCCCGTTTTACGTGCTAGGGAGCCACTCTTAATCCAACCCCCAACCTGGAGGGTCTGGAGACTGTGTTTGTCTGGCCTCTAACCGTTGACCAATCTGGTATTGGTAGATCTGAAGGTGCAAAAAAACTCCACCCAACACTACTTAATGGATCACTGAGGCACACAAACCATCGCACCAGGTTAAGGTCCAGTATCGTCGCGATGGCCACAATGCCTTGCGATTCACCGGATCAAATGCTTTGGTGAACTCAACTGACAGCGTGTACTATTACTGGTGTCGTTCTGTGCATTTTTCCTCCATCTGATTAGCCGCTAGCACCATATCGATGGTGCTGCGACCCGAACGGAATCCACATTGCTCTTCTGCCACGTTCGGTTCCGCAACCTGACCGTCTAGGCGGTTGAGTAGGATTTGGGCAATCACCTGGCCCACACAACTCAGCAACTTGATGCCACGATAATTCGTGGTGCATTGCTTGCTCCCTTTACCCTTGTACAGTCGTAGCAAAAAAGCATCCTTCAGCACAGGAATCACCTCCACTTCAATCCACACGCGTTGCACCGAGTGGTGCAGCTCAGTCACCAACGCGGGTCCGCCGTTTTTCAATACTTAAGGAGGGATCCCTTCGGCACCGGCACGCTTGTTCTTTCGCAGCTGAGCAAGTGCTCTCTGCGTGTCATCCAGTGTCGGCGTCCCCGCCAAACTTATCTTCACCTCGTGTTGTTTCAGGCCGTTCAAGGTAGGCCAATAAATTTCTGAACGCTTGCTCTAAAGACAGTCAAAGTGAGTTAGCCAGTTCTGCATTATGTATGCAATCTGTGTGCAGGCAACTTCTGAGCCATCATCGATCTGCGTCCTCAGCGGCTCCAATCTCGGTCTATACACCACCTTCAAGGAGTTAAGCTATTCTTTGTGTTTGCGGCGTTCGCTGTAGCATTCCATCTGCTTCGCCTTCTGCGTCCAGCACGTATATATATATATATATATATATATATATATATATATATATATATATATATATATATATATATATATATATATATATATATATATATATATATGGCTGGCGGCATCCGGTTTCGGATT